TCTGCTGCTGCTGCTGCTGCTCTGGACTAGAAAGTTAACGTGTTCAAAGCTGCGTTTTTGACAAGTCGCGCTGTGCATTCAATAGGATTCAACTGGTACGTTAAAGAGAGGAGAGGAGGAGAGAGAAAATCACAGGGGCGTGACATAATTAGGGGCGCAATCTTCTATTTGAACCCTCGGCTCAGTGTATGCCTCTGCTTGAACCGCTGAAGGGTTAAAAAAAAGGATGATTTAAAGAGACAGTGCACACTATTGCTTAACACGCTTTTATCTTAACTCCTATGTTTTAACTTGGTAATTCCTTATCTTACTTACTTTGTCTATTTATGTTTCATATTTACTTTTTATTAATATTATAGTTTTGGGTTTTTTGATTCTTTAACCACTTGTTTCTATTTCTTTTACTGCCCTTACCTTCTTATTGTTGTTATCTTTTTATTTTCTTCAGCTCTTTTAGTTTTTTTTACATCTTTTTAAATCTTTGGTTCCTCTTGGTCTCAGCTCGTGTTGTTGCGTTCTTGTGTTGCCTGGGTTCTTATCATGGTTCTTGTGATGGTCTGGTTATATGTCTGTTGGGTATCGTGCACTTTGGGTTCTTTTCTGTTGAGTTGTTTTTAATTATTTGTAGTGTTCTTGCTGTTGTTAATGTTCTTCTGTGTTTGGTTTAGTTTGCTTTGTTCTTTGTTTGTCAAAGCACTTTGTAAACCTGTGTTTTTAAAAGGTGCTATATAAATAAAGTTATTATTATTATTATACAGGATGACATGTAAGAAATACATTTTAGAAAGCACACAAAACACTTTCATAATCTTTTATGTTTATTTGTTTTAAATGGTGTTCGCATTAGCTGTTTCCCTCACAAAAAAAACACAACAAAGTTATTAGACATCATTACTTCAAAGGGAATGTTTACATTAAACAGTTGTGTTTATGTAGAAGAGAAATGCAAATCTATACAGAATGAATATACAAATGCAGACTTGTTTTCTCTGCATCTGAGTTATGATAATTTCTGTTCTGGTTTAAATAAAACAGCCAAATTTCAATTAAGCCGACTTTTTCTTACAGGTAAAAAATATCAAAACAAATACAGGTCTGCAAGTCAGAGAGAGAAAGAGACTGTTGACTCTGCAGGATGTTTTACTGAAGTCCATCAGAGACAGGTCTCAGTGAGAGCCGCTGTCTTATGCTGTAGCAGTTGGAGCGTACTGCATCACTAGTCTGTCAAACTCATTCTCCTGCAATAAAACAAAGAGTAGAGGAAACAGTTAAACATAAGGAAAACATCCAACCATGGGAACAGCTGTAAATCACATGGTGTCTTTGGTAACGCTGTAACCCAGTTAAAACATGTTTATGTACATCTGTGCTCCAGCGTAACTACAGAAAATGTGTGACAAAGGCTAAAGATACATCCTGCTTGACCTCATCCCGAGGACACCGGATTGTGCAAAGCCATCAAAACAAACGAGCCAAGTAATCAAATTATGACAGAGTATAGATTATGAAAGTTTGTCCACCACAGTGTGTGGATCTTTTACATCTGAGTGTCCTCCGTTATAGATCTGAGGTGTCCCTTGGAACCAAAAGCATGAAATAATACAGGCACAAGATGTTACCTTGGCTAAATAGTCTTTGAGGAACGGATGGGCTCTGTGTGCATCTTTCAGCTGAGATAGGTAGCGATTGGTCACCTGTGAACAGAAGTAATGGATCATGCATTTAAAAAGAAAAACTGGAGAGAGAGAAAACAGCCATAAATCCCCGTATACACACACCGTTAAAGCCGGCTATACAGGCAGGGACTTAAAGATGCTAGTAAAGCTTGTAAACAAAAAAGAAAAATCCGGTCCATCGGGATACTTTAAACACAAGTTTCTACCATATACAGGAATGTTTCATTGTCTTTGCACTGCACTTGAGTTTGTGTTGGTGCTTTTCTCACTACTTCAAAGTGTTACAGGCTCTGTTGGAAGGTGATGTGTTTGTATGTATATTACTGTTAAGCAACATCCAACTTTCATCAAACTGAAACTAAAGTTGTGCTGTGGCAAAATTAATAATTGACTTGTAGGCAAATACATGATGTATTTTACAGAGAAATTATTCTCTAGGGCTTTGCATTTTGAAACTTTCTAGTACAGTATATCCTTCAACGGATGTGTACAAGAGCTGCTGATTAAGATATCAAGTGACAAGGGATGACACACTTCAATTTAGTCTAACTCTCATTTCCCTTAAACAAAGTATATTCATAAGTGACCATCTACTACCAAGAGGTTATTTTGCTCAAAGTTAACCTTGAGGGCCATGTGTTAATCAGCTGTTATCACACATGGAAACTTTTGAACTATGCTTTAGTGTCAATGGTCAGTGTTCTATTGCATTACTATCAAGCTCATCAAACGTAAAACAGATAGAGTCTTTATCCTTTTGAACTCTGAATTCAAGAGTGGATAACACAAACACAGCACTAAACCAGAAGAAATGCTTAGGTGACACTTTTCACGATAGAGGACTAACGCAATCAAGAAATTGCTTGGTTGAATGCTTTCGCCGGCTTTAATCAAAGCAAACACAGATAAAATTGCTGAGGAGAGCATCTTGGACTCCAAGCGCAGTGTGTTACTGGAGAAAGATTTTCAAGTCGGTTTTTGACTGAGGATGAGTTTGTCTTAAGAAACTGCTTAACTGATGAATGTTCAAAAGGCCCCCAGCAGAAAGTCCAAAGTCTCACCTCAGGAGCTTTGCCCAGGTGCTGAGTAAGCACAATGAGGTTGATCAACGTCTCAGGGTGGCTGCTGTCCTAAAGGGGGGAGCAGAGATGGACAAAAACCAAGTCAGTCATTCTCAAAGAGAGCACAGAAGCCAAAACAGCAAGAGAGAAGAGAACCTCTGGCTGAGCATCTTTCATCAGGTCCAATATTTTTGATAAGAAAAACTAAATCATTTTGATTTCTCATATCACAATAACAGCAGAAAACAGGGTGGTAAATATAGATATATATATACCCCACATGAATGGATTATAAGCATTGCTACACGTGTATAGGTCTGTGTGTGTATGAGTTATGTTATAACTTCTGGTAATCCTTTCAGGTTATTTATTTTTTTGTTGCCATTGAAGTATAGTAGTGTATGTGTATGTGCTGAGTGGAAGAGAACATGACTGAATATCCAGCCTGTGACTATTGACCCAGTAAACTTTGTGTTGGGCTGTCCAATCAAGTCATCAATGAATAGCCTGCCCCATTAGGCAGGAGGACAACAAAGGTTTGTTTGGGTGTTAAAAAAAAAAAAGCTCAACATTTACATTTAGCTTCACCACAGTTAATCTAAACAAGTTGTTTAGTTTTTGTGCCATTCAACAAAATCATATTGGATTCTGTTCAACTCAGGTCTGGTTTTAAAATTCACCATCAGCAGTGCATGTGCAATTAAAAGAAAAACAGATCTGGGCCGTAGATGGCCTAGAGGTAAGTTAGCAGCCCATGTACGGAGTCCTCCAAGCAGGTAGAAAGAGTCCAACCTGCGGCTTCTTCCTGCATGTCATTCCCCGCCCCCCAGATCTCATAACCTTCTCTTCTTAAGGACAATGAGCAAACACTTTGGACTTTGAAAGAGTATGTGGTGCCATCTGCTGCTACAATGCGAGCAGTTCAAACAGGCACTAAAAGAACATCAACATAACACTGGTACACTTGCACTGTTTTCACTCAAGGCTACGTCCTTAAACTATATTTAAGACCTTATGAGGCATTACACAGTCCTTTATCTAAATGTAAAACGTTTCTTAATACCTATAATAATCTTCAAGATATTGCATTAACATATAGGGAACTAGACTATCATCTTAGGTCTTTTTATGTTTCAGAAATATAAATGGCGTTACAGTAAAGAATGTCAAATGACATACTAGACATTTAATTGACCAGACCCCAACTCCTCTATTGTGCATGCAGTTCTTCATTGGGTTTGACCTTGTAAGGAGAGGACATTAAGGATTTAATTTTAAAGATGTGAATGGATCACCAGACTCACAGAAAAACCAATGAGAGCATCCCATGTATATACGCCAAAGTGAGATAACATAATGTGTGACAGGTGAAAAACAAGAGGGACAAAAGAAACTAAAACCTGGTAGTCCTCTAACCTTGTCAAGTGCCTCCTGCAGCACTCCCTCAGCCTCCTCCCACTTGTTCTGAGCCATGTAACAGGCTGCCTGCCCGTTGAGGAGCAGCAGCGTTGATGAATACTTGTCCGACATCTCCTGGAAAATGTAGTAAGCATCCTGAAGCTTCTCTCCGCCCTGGATCAACAAGCACAATGTAAACATATGTAGGCAAGAATGAATCTATTCTGCAGCACTTATCGCGCTGAGGCGCCAATAAAAGAGCAAGACGACTTCTATTTGTCTTTTTTGTTTGTCTTGTAATGGTGTCACGGGGCTCCTCAGTCAGAGCACTCTGAAAGTTCTTTGGTGAGATGAGCTTTATATCACACTAAAAATGATGTCACACTATATTTCCTTTAGGAAACAAATGATTTAGTCCACATGCAGCCCCTGCCATTTGATCCAATATGTGTGGAGTAATTCATGATATTGTTTATTGATAATCTCTGGTCTCCTCACCACAGCAATATTAACCCAGGCTGTGGCCAGCTGGGTGAGAGTAGCGTCCTCATCCTGCTCCTGCATCTTCTTCAGCTCTTTCCTGTCAATCAGAAGGCACAGTCCCGTGTCAAAAAGACAACATAAGCTTACTTTTATTTTTATGTTATAATTATTCCATACTTAACCTGTTACCTTACTGTAGGTTTTTTTTAAAAAAGAGATTACAATGGGGAACATGTTCACTGTCACATCACATCAGTAAACACATTCACAAAGCACCTGGATGTTTTACATGAGTGTAAAATAACAAGGCTCACATAAAAATTCAATGCAAATCATGCGTAAATCATGTGTTTTGCCATACCTGGCAAGGTCAACACGATCCAGACTGAGCAGCACCTGAATGCTCATGGCCATGCTGAAAAATAAACAAATGTTCAGGTCAATTTAGTCAGTAATAGGCTGGTGTCTTCAACATGACAGCAACCTTACAAACCCAGTGACTCCTCAGAGAGTTTTTGTCAAGAACTGACACTTAAATTGACTTTCCTTAATGTATTTGTAACATTTTAACAACTGCCAATGACTGCAAATTCATGCAAATTATGTTCATGTCCTACACAAACAGTATATACGTAACCATTTTTTTTGTTTTTGTTTTTTTGCTTTTGTATTAACTTGGAATCTGTCAAGATTGTAAACCAAATCCTACTGAAACTAAGTCTCAATCCTCTCTTACCACTCCAGACTTTCTCCCTGGTGCAAAGTCCTTAGAGCAGCATCACTGTTCAGCTCATGGTAGTAGATGGAGGCAGCCATCAGGAGGAAGGTGGTGTTGGCAGCATCCACACTCTTGGCCATCTTTTTTTCTAGATCAGCAACAATTGCATCCCTGCCAGGAAAAAAAACAGAATAAGGACTTTACACGCCATAGAGTAATAATGTATGTATAGTATTCTGTAATAGACTTTAAAAATCAGAATTGTCTCTGATGAAGCCAATACTTTCTGACTAAACAAAGTACACTGAAAATAGTGACATTCTCGACATTGTCATTTCACACATTGTTAGAACAATTAAGATATTATCTTAGATTATATACGTATATATCACACAATCCTACTCCTTTGTCAGTATATTACAAAGGATACAGTTCAAATTCAAGCGGTCGAGAAAGATGGTTTCAAACAGCTTTTGACTACTTTGGATCAGAGACACAACCAGCCTAACCAGGTTTAAAAAGCTCTTGTAATAGTTTTGTTGTAGGCCACTTTGAAATGGTTTTTCGCACACCTACACTGTTTGATCTCAATACTCGCTCCGATGATTTCAGTGTTTTTGTGTTACTTGAATGACTCAGTTTTAAGTTAATAGATAAGACATGTATTTCTTATGTACGTTTTTGTATTGATATTAACACACATCTAATATACTCTTAGCAAATGCAAGCTAGTACAATACAGGACTTTAACAAACACATTTTTAAATGTTTTTGTACATTTTTGAGGGATGCTAAATATTGTCAATTATCGTTATGGACAAAGAGATATTTTTTTGTCAATATGAGGCACCTCTACAAAAGGAGTGTATGTAACTCCATTCAACTAACTGCACCACCCTCACACCTGTCCACCATGGGGTCCAGGGCCTTCAGTCGCTCTGCCCCCTCGCCTCTGAGACTTCCTCCCACCACACATCTGTAATATCGACTCTCTCTCCATTTTCAAATCTCATCTCAAAACATTAAACTGGCTTATTCAGTCTGATCATTCTCCACCCGGTCTCATAACTCCTTTTACATCCTGTACATTTGTGGGATTTTTTTTGTTTTTAATGTTAATTTGTTGTTTTAATCTCTGCTCTGTAAGGTGACCTTGAGAGTTTTGAAAGGCGCCTTTAAATAAAATGTATTATTATTATTATTATTATTATTATTATTAACGTATCGTTCAGCCCCATCCCTCTTTCATGTTGACCTACACCTCAAATACAATATCCTACCTTTTACTTTCATTGGACAGATACTCTGCAAACATCCTGACAGCCTGAAGCTCAGGTGATGAGTTGGCCTTGATATCATCCAGGACAACAGCATACTTCCTCTGCAATGACAACACAGAACCGGACACGGTATCAAGATTTCTGATTAAACCATAAAACACTGACAGAAATAAATACACAGGAGTTTACGGCTAATGGCAAGAAACACGTAAGCTTTCGATTTAAACACGTCGGTTTACCTGCGCAATGTAGGCTCTGTACAGAAACATGTCCCTCTCGGTCTCCTTTTCTGGCGTCGTGGGCTTTTAAAACAAGAAAAAGTGAAGTATTTCACAGCAATGTAGCCGCTAACATGTTTAGCATTTGTGCTAAAGGATGTCGTTATCTTCAGACGTTTAGAGTTAACAGTATGTCAGGTCATAAAGTTCACGCAGTTTGATACTTACCTTCACCTTTTGAGCCTCGTTAATACACTGCTGATAACTGCCAATATAATAGGCATTTTTAACATCGAAGAGCTCATCAACATCGCCCTGCTGAGCCGCCATGTTGACAACAGTAGTTCCTGACACGTAGCAGATATACGTCAGCTTCCTGTTTCCCCCCGAGAATTCTGGGAGATTGAGTTCAACATGAAAAATATAAATTGTAAAGGACCCTTTTTGTATAATGCAAGGTTTATGCAAAAGACACTTCAGAGGTTAAAAATACAAAGATCTAATGCAACCTGTGATGTTTTTTTTTTTGCAGTAAGATGAGTCTAGCCCTGTCTGGTAATATGGCTTATCTGTTTTTCTGTATGTTTCTGGAGCTGTTATTTTCTGCTACTCCTATCAGTCATTATATTTCAGATGTCCATAACTGTATTTCTCCTACTCATAACCATATGTGCACTCGTAAGAACTGTCAAAAACAATATTCACGATTAATGTTTTGATGACATTATAATGCAGATGTCTAAGACTTTTAAAAGTATCCATTTAGACTGGATTTATATTACACACATATTTTTTTCGAGGTTAAAAAGCACATTCCAAACATTGATGACATTATATCAACAAAGATCATTTCAGAAATCTGTCATGTCATTCTATAGGAAAATTTACATTTTGCTATGGAACTTACAATGTCAAATATCTATCCACAGCATCATTCTTCATATCCAGATGAAAATACAAGATATATCTACTATACAATTTTCTTGGGAAAAACTCAGATTTCAGATATCCACAACTATACTAGGTACAATTTGTATATTCAGAAATGAAAGATAAAGAAACATCCCATAATAATAATAATAATATTTTTCACTATTAAAAATGTCATTATAGATATCCACATTTCTCATTATGACTAAAGGTCAGTTTAGATTTTAGATATCTACAATTCACATTTGAAACAGGACTTGAAACAATTTCTGGAATACAAAATTAGATTGATGAGATAGATATGTAAAATTATTACTCTGAAAACTCTGAAAAGAAATACGACATCATAGTTTGGCTACAAGTTTACAGTATCTACAGATCTGTATACTGAACACCAACTTTAAATGCCTGAAAGAAAATGGGAAATGTGATTTAGAGGTTTACTAGGATGGTTGGATCTTCAGTGTTAATTTGCATGGGATTATTAATTACTTCATGCAGTACCGTAGTTATATGATTTAAATGTGTTGCACAAGGGGTTAAAGTATTAGATTTTAAAATAAATATTAATATAAATAATACTAATTAATAATAAATATATCTAAATAATACTTAATCTTAAAATTCTTTAGAGATTAACTGCGTGTCAGATATATTTACAAATAACCCTTTTGTAGAATAAATCCAATTGTAATTATGTATAAAAATCCTATACAATATCAATATTTTATTTTGAGCACTGAGCAATAATTACGATTACAGATTGTGTTTATGTCTTAATGTCTATCTTTAATGTTTTGTATTATAGACTGGACCATGTTTACTGACTTTTGCACACTTCATAATGTCCTAATGACTCAGTATGTATGTATGTATACGACACATTGCCTTTACTTATCAGGTTATACCACTAGAGGGCGCGTCAGTTTAATTTCAACACTGCAGCTGTCTGATGTTGTATTAGGACTGTAAATATTAAGGCCTACTTGAAGCAACAAAAAGATGTATAGAAGATACCAGTATTGATATGCGATGTTTTAAATATTGCCATGCGTATGATACATTATATCAATTAGGCCTACTTTATAAAAAAATAACGTGTGACCTCGGTTTTCTGTCCTAAAACTCTTTACTTGTTATACTGTAAAATGAGTTCAGCCTAAGTTAACAATGTAAGGCTATTTTGACCTCGGGAGTTCCTGTGTCCTCATTTCACAGATGAGGAAAAACTTCCTGTGTCCTAAAAACATCCGCTGACAAAATACCCCCCTCCCTCGTTTCTCATAACTTATATACTGCATCTATGAATATGTGATTATGAAAAATTCAAATGAATTTTATAATAGCAGCCTAAGTAAAACATAGTCTAAGTAGCCTATACTTTAATGAATGTTCGACTTAAGAGTGCAATATATACTATTTTATGCCAATAACAGAAGAAAAAAAAAAGCTCCCCACAGTTCCTGTTCATTGTTCCCTTAACACCGTTTCCTCTGGGAAATTCTCAGCCTTGGGACTGGGAGCTGGACAAGGATAATTACTGGAAACCCTAATGGGGGCAGGGAATGTGCTGGCCGTAAATGGTCCTTTCTTTTCGGCCTGATTGGGCTGGACCACTACTCCACTCCCCTTATTGCTCCTTCATTGGCCCAACCCAACATCAGTCTGTTGATTTCCAGATCCCCCTCAAGTTTGAAACTTTTTTTTTTTTTCTTACGAGTAGAAGTAGGAGGAGGAGGAATCTGGTTTCAACAAACTCTTGTAACCGATCCCACAACAGCCGAGGGAAGAAAACACTCTTTCAATAATTTAACATCTGTGCCTGATACGCGGCTACACAACAGAAGGCTGCAGCGAGGGGAGGACGTGTTTGTGTCCTTATCGAGATCCAACAACCACAAACATGCTGTGAAGCAACTTTTCCCTGCCCTGCCAGGATGAAGACCTGAGAGATTTTGCTCAGATTACCTAGTCCTGTTTTTGGCTGACAACTCCTCCTGTGTCCCACTGAGCTGAGAGAAAGGTGAGTTCATCTTAATGCTCGAGCGGGTTTTTAATGAAACACCTCAACAACATCACCAATAGTCAATGAAAACTTTCACCCCACTCAGTGTTTTTTGGACCTTAAAATTGTAACTCGTGTCAGCATAGAGCAACTTTTCTGAATGTTCAATAGACAAAATACTTAAAACAAGACTCAGTTTAGTTTTCTAGGTCGGTACAAAGTTAGCGGAAGTGACGGTCAGTCATTGCAGCTTATCAGTCAGGCAGTGATTCAAATATAGCTTTTTTAGAAAGCAAGCTACCAGCAAAATGGCTCCAGCTTATTATGCTAAACAGTGCCATTGTAGACCACAATGGATGGTTATTAAAGTAATGAAACTGATTGATGAATTGTTGACTTAATGTGATAGGCAATTCATTAGCTGACATTATTTGAAGTCTACTGTTATTCTAATTATAAAGAGATGGGGGAGTATCATTCAGGTCAATAATTAAACAAAGAAGGTGGCCTTTCCCCCCCCATAAAGAAGCTATGATGTGGATAACTATGAGGTTTACTATGCAGGTCAAGAAACTATTGATAAGAAAGGGAAAACGTTGCTGAATAGCTTATCTTATTTGGTATCACATGAAACCAATGACTTGAAAAATCGATATGTTCTCAGAAGGCACTTTCACCAACATTCACACATATTTGTTTTGGTTTTTTTTTTTGTGTTTGGATAAAGTTTAAATAAAGTTAGCATAATTGAATGTTAATTTGTGGATACAATTTGATTCAGTGGATATAAACTATCCATAATTTAGTAGAAATTACTTACTGATACAAGATGTTACAACTGTTGCGTTTTACATTTAGTAATGATGGTGAAAAGACGACACCACTTAACCATCTCATAAGAAATTGAGGGATTGTGTAAACAAGAAGAAGAAATCTGATAAAACTGCAAGGTTAATCACATGATACGCCAGCATAACCCCCTTCGTTTTGAAAACTAGACTGTAAGGGGTGAAGAAAGCATATGTTTTGCAAACACTGATATGTTTTGTAACACACTGCTGTGTTTACATTGTAAAGCACAAGGCTAGACTGTGGATGAATGGCTCCACTGTGCAGCAGAGGCTCTGGCAGGTAGCGGCACACATTATCATGCACGGCCTCAACAGACATGTCAAATGAATTATGGTCCTGGATCAAGACTCAGAGTTGCCTCTCTCCTTGCATTAGCTGTATCAGTGGTGAAATGATATGCCATTTTTGGATCCACTTTTTTTTTTTTAAGATGCTGAGGCTTCTTTTGTGGCTTTGTTGTTGTGGGTTGCCATAGCTGGTAACTCATGAACTTATGCAGGGGCCAAAACTCAGTCAGAGAAATCTATTTTTAGCTTATAAGCACTCTTTTATATCACTGTACTCTGTAAATCTTTAGGCTAAAGACTTTTGATTACATCATTGCCAATTTGTAGTACACTTTATGCCTAACCTTGGTATGTGGCCCACTTAAATAACAAATGAATTCATTATCGGTTCATTTGATGCATTTGGGGGTTTCTTATGCTTGTCAGACCAAACAAACAATGTGAAGGCCTCACAGTAAGCTTAAGTAAGCTTTTCTTTTTTACTATTGAATGACAGTTTGTTGTTAAGAAGAGGAAACGAATTCATGATGATTCAAATAATCCTTAATTACAGCCTTAAAATGATGACATTGGTACAGAATGAAAATATTGTGTGAATGAAATGAAATGCAGGGAAGCAGAGCAATTACAGTCAGTTTGTTTTAGATTTCATCCTTGGCTGCTCTTAATGAGCATTTGCTGTTCACCATTAATCATAGGCTTGTGCTTCACAACAGCTTTATTATTGTTTCAGTAGATGTGATTCTGAAAAACAAGTAATAATAATGACTGTCCAGCTGGATTAAGTAGATGCTGGTAAGCCTTGACTATATATTTCATAGTATCAGTGCTGCATATCCCCGCCCCTGTGTGTCTTTTAGAAAAGGACAATACAGCCATGTTGCCAAACACCATGTAGTGTTATTAAGGGCAGGCAGAGCTGGAAATGCAGCCCTAATGTTAGAGAAACTGTGGAGTCCAGCTGAGGAGGATCCATGGTAACTCACCAACAAGACAGGAGAGGTGTATGACCTGCTTTTTACTGGGCTGCAAAGTTCAGCCCAGCACGCAGGTGGCCTCCAGTTTCCGTGGAAACCCAAAACACTCGGAGCATGTGCACTTGGCTGAAAGAGCAGAGCTTTCTGCCCTGCAAATATCAGGACATTGTTTAAAACAGAGAGGCTGAGGGGTGTTGACATCTGCCAATAGAGCAGACTCGTTTGAGGTCCCACTTGAGTTATGAATTAGTCACAGTCTTGTCCTCTTTATTAGCCCCCCTTCTGTTTTCACTGGTCTCCATCCCTCCTGCTATTACTACCG